ACTGACATTAGAAGCTTCTAACTTGTCTAATCTGTTTCTTCATGAGACACGTCCTTCCTCGTTCTTCTTGAACACCACCGTATCTCTGTGACGCATATTTTTCTTATCATGAAAAAAAAAAAATTTTTCATGTAACCTTTAAGTGAGTAGAAGTAACCATAGTACTTTGTAGGTATAGTTTTCCTTAAAACTTTATTTAAGAAAAGGAAAAAGATATTGTCCAGATACTCAGAAGTTTTTTGAAGTTCATTATTTTCACATTTCTCTATTTCAAGGATATAACTGATGTAAATTTATAACTGTAACATATAACTATAAAATTATAATTAGTAATATATAATTTATGAAAAATATAACATACAAAATTAACATACTAAATTATAGTATAACTACAAAATTATAATTTTTTAGGATATTTTGAATACTCTATTTATCAATTTCTATAGCTTTAAACCATCTTTGTACTCAAAGGTTAATTAAAAAGCTGTTTGCTATGACAGTTTTATTTATGTTTGACTTGAAATATTTCATAACTCTTTGTCATTCAAATTTCGTGCAAGTGAAATTTTTTTATCACATGAAAGCTCTTTTATTAGTTGTTACAGACAAATCTTAAAAAAAACTCTTAATTTGAGAATTTTCTAAGATTTCTGATGTTAATTATAATAAAACATGAAGTTACAAATCATAACACATATGTGTCTACCTTTAAACAATTTTGTTGTATTATTTTCTATATAATTTGAATTTTTCTAACCAGGGCAGGATAATATTTTTAAAATTAATAAATAACAAAGGTACAAATTAAAAAGAAAAGAAATTTTAATAAAAGACTGTGAGAGGATAATATTTTTATTTTAAAGGATATTTTTATTCAAGGATTAATATATTTGAAATTATTATTTTGATTGAACAAATCTTGCACAATAATATTATAATCAAGATAAAAGACATTATTGTCTTATTATTGTCTTAGTATTGAATCTCATCAAGGAATCAATTTTCTAACTGAAGAAGTATTATTATTGAAAATGCAATGTCATACAAATCTATTACTCATCCATATAACTCTATTATTGATGTAAATATAAATCTGGATGCTATCTATGCAATTGTATTCAAATATACCTTAACTTTAAAGCAATTGAACAAATATATCTTTATATGAAAAATTTTGACATTGAATCCTATATAATATAAAATATGCTATAATTACAATAAAATTGATTATTGTTTTTTTCAGGCACCTAGGTGGGCATGTTTTTTATGTGCACTTGGTCTGTTTATATATCAGAGTTTAGATGCTATCGATGGTAAACAAGCCAGGAGAACTGGCACGTCTACACCATTGGGCGAGTTGTTTGATCATGGATGCGATTCGATATCGACAGGTAGATAACTGCTCTGTCTCTTAATAATCTTATGCATTAGAAACATTTTAATTTCTGATATTTATTTTCTTTTCAGTGTTTGTAGCTTTGTCAGCGTGTATAGCTGTACAATTAGGATACTACCCAACATGGATGTTTTTCCAGTGTTTCTGTGCAATGACGCTTTTCTACTGCGCTCATTGGCAGACCTATGTTTCAGGTATAAAAAACAAAAAATGTGTATAAAAATAAAACAATATATAGTGCATTATTTAACTTTATTTAAAATATTGTTTTAATAGGTTCCTTGAGATTTGGTAAAGTTGATGTAACAGAAGCACAGTTTACAATCATAGCTATTCATCTGATTTCTGCAATCTTCGGTCCACAAATCTGGATGATAGAGGTTGTATTATTTTTAATTATCTTGAATTGTCCTTTCTGTATTTTACATAGCAAGAATATTTTGTATAGCAATTTAACACATTTTACGATCTTTTCCTTTTAAATCGTTTATTTATTTATTTAATTTTAATGTTTTGCATGGCTGCAGTTTAATAAACATGAATACTACATTCTGCTTTGCTTGTTTTTTTAAAGATAATCACATTATTATTCTGAATTGTTGAAGTATTCATTTATCACACATTATACATATACTTATGTAACTGCTTGCATTACAGTTTTTACATAAATGATTTATGACAATATTTGTCAAAGATAAAATTAAATAGCTCGAAATTGTAATTTGTATTTTTAAAAATGTAACACATAGTGCAATTTGGTATTTGCGGCAATGAGCTTTCGAGTTCCTAACGCCTAATAATAATAATAATAATAACACATAGTGCAAGCAAAATGATAAAATTTTGCTTATGTTGCTATGGGTTTCAGATTTTATGGTAAGTAATTTTGATAGCTTAGCACACATAAATTTATAAAATCTATATAAAAAGTATAATAAATCTATTAAATTTCTATAAAATATAAATTATATTATTAATAACACTATCTTTTCAATGTCATTTTTATTAAATCTGCTGAGCATGTAAATTAAGTTAATTTATTAAACTAGCCTGTATTATTAATCTTCTTTATTTGGACAAAATCCTCAGTAA